AAAAAAAAAAAAAATCACGCCCTCAATGTATATCCAGAAACCGCCAAGAAAATGGAAAAGAAGTCGGAAATTGGTATTTCCCATTATCTCAAACCTACCTACAGTTACACAGACAGACTACACACCCAACAGTGTGTACATAATTCACCAAGATAGTTGGATACAGTACAGACCTCCTCCTTTGTTTTTTTTTCCTTCGTTTTCTCCACTGTTTATTTAATCAATCTATTCTCCCAAGGTCCCCCTTTCCTCAGCTGAAACAACTTTCCCTTTTCCCCAAAACGACTTTTCTTTTCCTCTCTCTCTCTCTCTCTCTCTCTCTCTCTCTCGTCTCTGTGTGAGAAAGTTCAATCTCTCTCAGACATTGAGATGATAGTTTTTCTTGCATTCTTAGTCGTAGTCTTGTCCAGTTCTTTCAATCTGGTCGTGGTTACTTCTTTGAATGAAGAGGGCTTAGCTCTTCTTGCACTCAAGAGCTCCATTAAAGAGGACCCTGAAGGTTCACTCACTAACTGGAACTATTCAGACGAAAACCCATGTTCTTGGAATGGCATCACATGTACAGCACAAAAAGTTGTTTCTATTAGCATTCCTAAAAAGAAACTATCTGGGTCTCTGTCAAACGCTCTTGGATCTTTAACTGAGCTACGGCATGTCAATTTGAGGAGCAATAAGCTCTCTGGTAACTTGCCCCCTGAGCTTTTCAAGACCCAAGGGCTTCAAAGTTTGGTTCTTTATGAGAATTCATTTACTGGGCCTTTGCCGTCTGAGGTTGGCAACCTTGAGTACCTTCAAACCCTAGATTTATCTCAGAATTTCTTTGACGGGTCCTTGCCCCCGTCATTGCTTCAGTGCAGAAGGTTGCGGAATCTCTATTTTAGCCATAACAATTTTAGTGGTTCTCTGCCTAGTGGGCTCGGGAAGAACTTGACAATGTTAGAAAAACTTGATCTTTCATATAATGGTTTTAGTGGTGTCATTCCTGGTGATTTGGGCTATCTGTCTAATCTACAAGGAACTCTTGACTTGTCCCATAACGCGTTTAACGGTTCGATTCCAGCCAGTCTTGGCAACCTCCCGGAAAAAGTTTACATCGACCTTACCTACAATAATTTGAGCGGTCCCATTCCTCAAAATGGTGCCTTAGTGAACAGAGGGCCCACGGCCTTCATCGGGAACCCTGGTCTCTGTGGGCCCCCTCTGAAAAAGCTCTGCTCGTCCGGCAATGAGGCATCTTCCCCTTCCTCATTCCCTTACTTACCGAGCAATTACCCGACGGGGCACGACACTGGGGCTAACAGCCGGCGTGGGCTGAGTAAAGCAGCTCTAATAGCCATTATCACCGGAGACGTGATTGGGATTTTCGTGATCGGGTTGCTTTTCTCGTATTGTTACTCGAGGTTTTGTAGGAAAAAGGAGGGAGAAAATGAGTACGGGCTTGAGAAGGGAGGAAATAAAGGTAGAAAGGATTGTTTGTGTTTCGGGAAGGAGGAGTCGGAGAACCTATCTGAACATGTGGAGCAGTATGATTTGGTGGTTTTAGATGGGCAGGTTAGGTTCGACTTGGACGAGCTTCTCAAGGCTTCGGCTTTTGTGCTCGGGAAGAGCGAAATCGGGATTGTGTACAGGGTCGTGCTTGAAGACGGGCTCACGTTAGCAGTTAGGAGGCTTGGGGAAGGGGGGTCACAGAGGTTTAAGGAATTCCAGACGGAGGTCGAGGCCATTGGGAAGCTGAGGCATCCTAATGTGGTGACTTTGAGAGCATACTATTGGTCGGTCGATGAAAAGCTTCTGATTTATGATTTCGTGCCCAATGGGAATCTTGGAACTGCCATTCATGGTGAGTTTCATTCATGGTTAACCTGCAAGTATGTGAGTTTCATTGATTGGTAGTTTTGATCCTTTGAAATCTTTGATGTGTGTCACATTAATCAAATTAGCAACTTCAAATGTATCTCTGGGCAAGATTTGGAATTTATGTGTTTTAGGGTATTCTTGGCCTAAATATAGAATAACCAAAGATTGTGAACACTTGCATTTGAGTTGAAACTCACTAGTTCAAAATTGGAGGAAAAAAGTCAAAACTTATGGGATCAAAGTTTCCTTGCATACCTATAATTAAAGAATTGCTAGCCTCTTAAAGTAGTTACAAGACTAAAATTGCAATTCTGTAGGATTACTATTCTCACTTACAAGTGGCTTGATTTTTCTGTTATAAATATACATATTGGTTTGTAATGGCAGGAAAACCGGGATCGGCAGAATTCATTCCACTCTCATGGCCCGTCCGGTTAAAAATAATGAAAGGAATTGCCAAGGGCCTGCTCTACCTCCATGAGTACAGCCCGAAAAAATATGTCCATGGGGACCTTAAACCGTCCAACATTCTCCTTGGGCAGGGCATGGAAGCCAAGATCTCCGACTTTGGGCTTGGTCGCCTAGCCAACATAACCGGTGGGCCTCACTCCACCCATTCCAGTCGGACGGTCCCTGACAGGCCCCAGGAAGCCTCGCCGTTTGGGCTGGGCCCCAATCTCGGCCCATGCTACCAGGCGCCCGAGGCCCTGAAAGCCGTGAAGCCATCCCAGAAGTGGGATGTCTACTCATACGGGGTGATCCTGCTCGAGATGATCACGGGCCGCCCCCCACTCGTCCGAGCTAGGGACTCGGAGGTTGATCTCGTCCGTTGGATGCATATGTGCATTGAAGAAAAGAAGCCCGTTTGTGAAGTGTTGGACCCGAACCTGGCCCAAGATGCCGACAAGGAAGAGGAGATGATTGCGGTTTTGAAAATTGCGATGGCATGCACGAATGCTGGGCCAGAAAAACGGCCCTCGATGAGGAACGTGGCGGATGCTTTGGAGAGATTGCCTGTTTCAGATTGAGTTTCATTATATTGATGAAATTTCATCACCATTTAGATTTGGAGGATTGATTGATTTTGTTTTCCCATGATTTGTGTATATGAATAAGAATGCTGGTTAATTCTCTCTGTGTTGGTCATCAGCTGGTCTCTTGGCTCGTGTGTGTGTATGTGTGTTTTTTTTTTTTATTCGGATAAGTCTCATGGCTCATATTTTGTTCCTTAATGTCCCTTTTTCCATTGGCTTTTGTAAACTTTTTGACTTGTGAACATTTGTTAGATGCGGCAGCCATTAGATTAATTTAATTTATCTTTTCAATCTGTTTGGCACGTGAAGTAGTCGGGATTCTGTAACTTGGATGTTGTAATCATAGTCTTCTAGTAATAAGTCCAATTAAATCAAAGAAGACCTACTAGGAAAACGACTCTTTAACCTTTTTTTTTGGACTTCAGTAATTTTTTAAATGAGCGTAAGTACAGCCAGGCAACGGGTCAACAAATAATACTGAATATATTATATGTACTAATTTTGTTTATTTATTTTATGATGTTGGGGAAGCATACGAGTGAGTAAGATAAATGAAAATTCAATCTCATAACACGATAAAACAAGATCATTTTGTTTTTCCACAATCAACTGAGCAGAATGAAATAAAGGGAGCGCTTTAAAGACTCATAAAGCCTAAATCTAACTTTTTCACCAAGAATAATAATAATAATAATAATAATAATAATAATAATAATAATAATAATAATAATAATAATAATAATTCTTAAATTAATACGACGAGATGATCATATTTGTCAAGATATGTCGACGCACTCTCGTCGGAACCATTATCTCGTGGCTGGAGAAGATTTGCCTTCAAACCGCACCTCTTGTCCTCATAGGAATCGTCCCCATTCAGAGGGGCCAAATGCTTCTCATAAAAAATATCCATCGTACGCAAATGAGAGGGCAAACGAAGACGGTAGGCGTTCTGAGTGATCCTTTCGATGATCTCGTAGGGGCCGATTTTACGGACGAAGAGCATACTACCCGGATGTGCAAGAAAACGAATAGGACGCAAAATAGTGCACACAAAATTGCCGACGTCAAATACCACCGAACGGCGACGCTCATCCGCCCGCAGCAAGTAGGACACAGTGCTGCGTTTCCTCCTTTAAACACTATCTTTTTTCTGTCTTTTCTTAAGCTCACATTTTATATCTCTTGGGACTCACATGTGTATGTGTTCTCAATGAAAGGGGCGACCGAATTCTTGAAGGTGGAGGTGTATTTGTAGGCTACAAAAGAGATGAGGAGGTCTTAAATAAAGACCACTTATACGATTAGGTGTTCTTAGGTTGTAGTACACCTACGCCTAACCTCCAAATTATGTTGGAGTCCACATTTATCTGCTATTTTTATCTCTCCGTATCAAGATATAATATACACTAGTTAATTTGATTACTGTTAATTAAATAATTTTTTGTTCTGAAACTAGTGCCACTCAACCTTAATACTATGCCAAGAATTAATCTTCCTGTAGAAATTCTCTTTATCTCATTTTGGGAACAACATCAATTTGGCTCACCATGACATAATGTCCGTAAATCATCAACGACACACCATACAAACCGCATTATTTCCAAACTCACATGGCCATAGATTTAGCAGAATAAATCTCACTTTTAGCATAAGGAATTTCTTTCTTGTCCTCTGGTACGCAAAAGACCTCCGATTGGATGGAAATCGGCCCGGTATAAGCTTGCTCACCGGTTGAACGCTTTTAGACCTGCAAAAACTCTCACACTGGAGGGATTTTCGATTGAAAAACCTCTGATGCTTAAGTTAGCATTGTGAAGAAAATGAGTGCAGTATAAGTGTATGGAATAATGGAGAATGTAATGTGATTATAGGCATACCACACTCCCTTATATAGGGACCTTATACCTTTTCACCCAAGACTGCCCAGTGGGCTGCCCAAACTGCCGTATAGTACAACCTGAACTGCTAGATAGTACTACTCGATATGCCCGAACTGCTCAATTCTATTAGGGCACGTGGCCCTATCCATGCGTGGCTCTTAAACCATTAAGATTTATTCTTATCCATTAGTCTTTCATATTAGAGAGCCTAATGGTGCTACCATCTCAAGCTCTGTTGAGGTAGAACGTTGCCTGTTTTGGGTCTAAGAGTTTATCTTTCTGGTCGATCAGACGACCAACCATGCCTATAGATCCAACTTCCAGCAGGCCATCTGAGGGCCCTTAGCTCGACCTATCATTAACCTTTTGAACCCCGCTCCTTTCGACCTGAAGATGCCTTGTTGATATTCGTCCTCCCAGTTGCTCTGGTTCAATCACCTGATTCATTCAAGCTGATTAACTAATTTATTGTGTTTACTCTTCTAGATATTGTATTATATGTCATATGGTCCCCTCACTCTCGTCGTGTTGGAATAACTTGACTAAGAGTAGATTTGTCCTTGATTTTGGTTGATGCATTCCCGCATTTTGATTTTGGACCTGTCTTCTGCAATTCCTTCTGTTATACCATAATCTTCCGACCACTCTGCTTACTTTTCTGTACTTTTTGGTCCCCTCTTGGTCCTTATTTTGAATTTTGAATCTCTACCAACCTTTCAGACCCATCAATCAAAATACCAGCCTGACATCACCACTCTATAAATTGCACTGCCTCGTATGACACATCCATTAAATTCCTCGTTAATAGTGTACATTTTATCTGCCTTTATTCCAACGGTCCACCTTGATGTCTTTTCAATCGATGCGTTAACTCTTAGCTATTAATTCCACCCCTGATCAAACGGCTCTCGAGGGTGCCCCTTCGACTTCGTCTTTTTGCAATCTCTGCCATTCATTTCACTCTTCATCCGACGGTCCAGCCCAAATAAAACTATCCAATTCTCCTGCCATATCCCGACCATTAAAATCAATCTTGATCCAACGGCCAGGGTCAATCGGCCCGCGCACATGTCGCCTACAAAAAGCCCTGAAACTAACTTTTTTTTGGTTTTTTCACTCTTGTAATTTCCCTTAGCAAGTATATCTCTCCCTGCTAGACTTCACTGCAATCCAAAGCTTACAGTGACTTCTCCAAGGCAATCCTCTCCAATTTTGACAATGAGTAAGTATTTCGTTCCACACTTTTATACGCTTTAACTTTATTTTTAGCTTTTGCTTTTTTCTCTTCCCCAAATTCGGTAGCCAGTACCTCTTCTTCTCCCTCCTCCCCTTCATGAAAAACTAAGAAAACTCTTATTTTTTGATTTTCTTTCTTTAGTTTCTGGCACTTCCGGTCAGGACGATAGCTACTTCGCCAAAGATATGACTCCTCCACCATTCTCTTCCACTTCTCGACTTGCTTTTACACCTTCTCCGACCCCTTTGGTCGAAACGATTCTTCAGCCAACTCCTCTTTCAACTGTTCCGGTTCCGTCACCATTGCATTCGCCTCGCCAAGCCTCTCATTCCCAACGCCCTTGTCTACCTCTCCAGCTGGTCGATGACCCATATGAGGAGGACGATAAGATTCTTCAACGTGACCCCATGTTTTATGCTTCTCCCTTTTCCACCTCGACATCAACTCTTGAGGTTGGCCCTTCTTCGACCTCAATGCTTACTCCTCGACATGGTCCCACTGTCAGCATTCAACTTTCCCCAGACCCCACGACACCTACGACCATCCTCATGAAGGGTACTACAGTTATTTCAGAACCAAATAAAATTGGGTCTTTATTTTCCCATATGCCCAGCCTTGTTCGACCTTTGTGGTGTTTTCGACCTACCACTCAACCAACTTTCTCCTAACACCATCCGCCACTTGACCACATTCTTTCATTTGCTTGTCTTGGTCGAATTGACTTTGACCTTTTCTTTTATTCTCTTATCTCCAAGGGTTAAAAAAGAGAACTCTATCTCAAAAGCTAAAACAAAGCCCACTTTTTGTCTGATATCCTTTTCAATGTCCCCAAGTGGAAGCGGAAGTTAATTTACGTTTCACCTGATACCCTTTTTTTCCTGTATCAATCCCCTGGCTCGAGGTGTTTCCCTTTCAAACCAAAAATCCTCCTCGAAACCCTTTATTCGACCAGCGTATAACAAATGCAAAAAAAAAAAAAAAAATGCTTTCGAAACCTAGCTCTCGAGCAAGAGAATATTATTCTACTGTGGTCTGCTTACATTACGACCATAAGATCTGGCTTCTGAGCAAAAACTTCAGGAAGTCAAAACCTTTTCGAGGACGAGCCTGGTATGCTCGACCTATTAATCTCGTAATGCATTATTTTTTTGTTGTGATTAACACTTTTTCTCGACCTTTTGCAGAAAGCTTCATGAACACTAGGAAGACCACCTCGGCCAATAAGGGGGCCGTCCCGAGTGGCGCAGAGCCATATAAGCCTCCTAGACAACCCCTCATAAGACAACCTCTCCGAAGGGGTAGACCACAGGGGGTTGAAAAGACCTCTGCTTTAGTTAAAAATACAACCTCTCCGCCCTCTAAATCCATCGGTAACCAGACCGACAAACGGGTTAAGTAGTTCGAGCTCTATAGAGGTAGAACATTGTCTCTTTTGGGCATAAATGTTATTTTTTTCTACCACACCACCTACCAAGCCTACAGGTCGAGTTTCCAGCAGGCCATCCGAGGGCCCTAGCTCTACCTGCAATTATCCTTTTGAACCCCCTGTTGCTCCTTTCGACCTGAAGTTGCCTTGTTGATATTCGACCTCTTGGCTTCTCTGGTTCGACCACCTGATTTGTTCATGCTAATTAACCGGTTTATTGTGTGTACTCTTCCGGGTATAGTATCTCATACCATCCTCTATCTCTTGCGCTATCATAGGAGATATCTCCTTAGACAGAGGTACTCCATGTCTGAAAGGTAGCAAATCATTCTTGGAGTCTTGCATGCTGAAACATGCCAAAACATTGTCTATATATTAATCTTGAGACGTGCATAACATCCTTTTCTCACGATCCCTTATGACTCTGATCCGAAAAATATATTTTCTT